AGACGCAGGCCAAGATGACACCTAAGCTTACTAGGTGGGCCGCAGAGATAGATCAGTACGACTTCGAGCTCAAGCCTGTTAAAGGGAAGTACAATATAGTCGCGGATGCTCTGAGTAGGAGAGCAGATTACTTTGGGGCAATAGTACATTACCTCAATATAGGAAAGGATCTGCAGCAGAAGGTTAGAGAAGCCTACGCGCAAGACCCTATCTATAGTGAGCTCCTCACGCGAGTCAAGGAGGCCCCAGAGACCAAGTCGAACTACCGCACTACTGAAGGGCTACTCTTCGAGAAGACTAATGTATTTGACCGCCTGTGCATTCCCAATAGCGAAGACATCCGTAGTTTGATTTTGGGGGAATGCCACGACACAGAGGGTCATTTYGGTTGGCAAAAGASCTTAGCCAATCTGATGCGCGCGTATACCTGGCCAGGGATGAAGAATGACTGCGTAGAGTATGTTCGCAGTTGTAAAGTCTGCCAGCGTAACAAGTCTTCTACGTGTGCCCCGTTAGGTCTTTTCAGCCCCTTGCCCATTCCGGACCAACCGGGAGACTCAGTGTCCATCGACTTCATGGATACCCAAGTCAAGAGTAGACATGGCAAGAGCCAAGTCATGGTCATAGTTGATCGCTTTAGCAAGTACGCAGTTTTTGTTCCTTTGCCTTCAGAGGCGCGTACCGACTTAGTAATACAGAGGTTTTTTGACTGTTGGGTTAGTGAGAATGGGATTCCACTGTCTATAGTTAGCGATAGAGATAGTCGCTTCACTAGCCAGAACTGGCAAGAACTCATGGGAGTATACGGTTCTAAGTTGTTGATGTCGTCCGGCCGTCATCCAGAGACTAACGGTCAGACAGAGCAAATGAACAAAATCCTACAGCAAGTTCTGCGCATGTACATTAGACCAGATCAGATTAACTGGGATGAGATGTTGCCCAAAGTAGCTAGTGCGTACAATAACAACGTGCATTTGTCTACATGCCGCACTCCCAACGAACTACACAAGTCCTTTCGACCGCGCAGACCGTTTGAGGGACTCAACCGCGATCAAATTCACAGATTGCCGCCCGGGACCAGGGAGTTTGCTGTACAGCACGAAAAAGAACTAGCTACTGTTGTAGAAAACCTCAGGAAAGTCCAGCATAGGATGATAGAACAAGCGAATAAACATCGTCGCCCCTCACAGTTTCAAGTAGGCGACTTAGTCTGGGTTAGTTCTAAAGAGTTTACACCTGAGGAGAACATCTCGCAGAAGTTACTGCCCACCTATAGAGGACCGTGGCCAGTCTTAGAAGTCAAGGGCGGCGAAGACGGACCGTCCTACACTATAGAACTCCCAGCACACCTCCACACTTACCCAGTTTTCCATGCATCAAAGTTATTACCTTGCCAAGCAAGTGATCAGTTTCCATCCCGTAGATCGATGATCCCACCAGATATGGATGGAAGATATGACATTGATGGTATAGTGGCTGAAGATGTCTTCATAACCGGAGGTAGGGGTCGTCCGCAGAAACAGTACAAGGTTCATTTTAGTTATCAAGAACCGGAAGACGACCGCTGGTTTACGAGATCTGAACTTCTAGAGACAGCTCCCGATATAGTCCGGGCCTACGAGAGACAACAGCGAGGTAAAGGTCCTGCCTTGGATTGAAAATTTCTCGGAGGACCTCGAATCTAGGCCGGCGGGAGTGAAACGGTATTCACCAGTTCGAAGTAGC